TGTGTGTGTGTGTGCGCGGCCGCCTCGTCTCCACTGTGTCTAATGGAGGCTCTCAGCCAGCATCACGGTGCAACACTCAGCAGCCAATCAGAGGCTCACACAGGTGAGAGCGCGGCGAATGCAGCGGAGATCAGCTCGACACTCGACTCGACAACACGACACAAAGCTGCAACACTGCTCAGGTCGCCGGGTTAATTACACCTGGATGCTGCTGCTGCTGCACACACACACACAACCGGAGTGTGTGTTACTGTGTGTTACTGTGTCTGTGTGTGTATGTGTGTTACTGTGTGTGAGTGTGTATTGTTCAGCCCGTGTGTGTTTAAAGATGTTTACTGTCAGCTACACGTCTGACTTTGTCGTTTTGTGTCTTTTTGTCCAGTTTTTATTGATTAGTTTGTTTTTTATTGTTTTGTGTCTCATTTGTGTCATATTTTTGTCGTATTGAGTCATTTTTGTTTCAGTTTGTGTCGTATTTGTGTTGTTGTATCTCACTTCCTGTTGTTTTGCGTCTGTTTTTTGCCATTTTGTCTCATTTGTGTTCCGTTGTGTAGATGTATATTGTTGTTGTTTTTATTTTGTGTTGTTTTGTGCCTCATTTGTGTAATTTTGTCTTGTTTTTTTGTTGTTTTGTGTCTTGTTTGTGGCATTTAGTGTCTCACAGACCACTTCCTTTGTCCTGTTCTGTGGTTTCATGTCACCAGAAGCTAACTCAGCTCCTGACAGAACATAAACACCAGCTCATGTCTTCCTGATCTTCAACACTGATGTCCATCTAAACCGACACCATCTCACAGCATCAGGGCTCAACTCTGGACCTCAGAGGCTCTCACAGTGGATGAAAATGTGTGTTTCTGAACCTTAAAGCTGCACCGATGTGAACATCCGATGGTCACAAACCTGAAGGCTCACGTTTTCCTGTATCTCCATGTCTTCCTGGACGGCTGCTGCTGCTCTTCCTAACAGGAAGCAGGGTCTGTGTGTGTGTGTGTGTGTGTGTGTGTGTGTGTGTGTGTGTGTGTGAGGTGTGTGTGAGATGTGTGCAGATAATCATGTGACGCCTGCTTCTCTTCCTACAGTTTTATCGTGTGATTGAGGTCCAGGTTTAGAAACAAGCAGCTGCAGGTGAAGGGAAGCAGATCTGCCGTTTCAGAGGATTAAGACGGATTAATTAGACTTGGAGAGAGAGTTGAAAGGTGGCGGCGTGTGTGTGTTACTGCAAGTGTGTGTGTGTGTTTTCATGTGTGTGTGTTCATGTGTGTGTGTTCATGTGTGTGTGTGTTCATGTGTGTGTGTGTGTTCATGTGTGTGCGCTCTGATGCGATGCAGACTGAGGTGTGCAGTAAACACGGTGACCTCGCTGCGCTGCTCTCCAGAGCTGACCAGACCTTGGCCTATCAGAGCAGCTCCAGCAGCTCCAGCAGCTCCAGCAGCAGACATGTTTGTTCGGCAGCTTTTACACCTGGAACCGAGTCGGAGGTCGTCAGAGTCCTGAAAGGTCAGGGAACGGTGGAGGAGGCCCAGAGGTCGGTGCTGGACGGAGCTGAGCAGCTTTAAACAGACTCGTTAAAGCTCCTGATGATTAACGTTCTGTAACGACCTCAGAGTGAAGCTTCAGTTTAACAAACAGGATGAACATCAGCTCAGAGGATCAGCTACAACTCTGTTGGTACGTTTGTCTTCTTCCATCCATAGTTCTCAGACCTAAATGGAGCAGCTCTGACGTCAGTGGTTCTCCTCCAGGATCAATTCACTGGTTCTGGTTCTGGTTCTGATGCCAAAATTAACAACAAAATAAAATCTCAATAAAAGAAACTAGACTGAACTGTTCAGATCAGACGAAGCTCAGATTAGTTCATGGACATAAAGATGATCGATATGAACACGCTACCATCAGGATGATCCATCTGGTATCAACCAGCAGAGCTCTGCTCCACTGCTGAGGTCACATCTGAAACCAGACTGAATGTAATGTTCTGGTGACTCCAGAGCAGCTCCTGGAGGACAACGATGCTGAGAACCTCCTCAGTGGCTCAACATCTGCTCCTCTGCTGACAGTGTCATTTACAGAAGTTCCCTGAACGCCTCACATGAGCTGCAGGAAGCTGCTGGAGAACCAGAAGGCAGCATGATGGTTCTAGCTCCTGTCTCGTGTTCCTCTGCAGCATGAAGAACCAGAACATCATGAAGGAGGAGAGAGAGCTCCGAGATGAAGGTAACATGGTCCCAAATGATCCAGGTTTGTTCATAATGAGTCTCTGAGTCGTTTTGGACCACTTCTGTCCAGTCTGGAGTCCAACTGGCTGCTCTGTCCACTGGTTCTGATCCGTGCTGCATCATGTATGGATGAACTTGTTTGTTTTCCCTTCACTGTTGATTTGATCTTCTCGTGGTTCTTCGGTCTCTTTGTGGTGTTTTTGCATTTTTTGTTGTCATTTCTATTTTCAGGTTGTTCTGTTTCTCCGTGGTTCAGTTCTGTTTCTCCGTGGTCCGGTTCTGTTTCTTTCGGGCCTTCCTGTGTCTCTTTGGGCTGTTTTAGCTCTTCGTGGTTGCTCTGGTTCCTCCTGGAGATCATTCTGAATCTATTTCCGTAGATGTTCCACCGTGCTGCCCGTCTGCTCCTCTGCAGACCGACCTGGACCAGGGACAGAACAGGGACGGTCGGAAGTATTTTCACTGACGACTATCACGTGATGCATTCAAGGACAGTTGGAAAGTTGATCGATTCTTTGCATTTGTGCAGCTTGTGTCTGACAGACGGTTTCATTCCAGGGATCTGATCCAGACGACCACCACCGGCTCAGAAACAGAACCGCTGTCCCTCCAATTTGAATATTTCAGCACCAGAACACAGCTGATAGAGCGCACAGGTAAACATCCCCGGGATGGAACGGGTCAGACCAGACGGAAACCAGTAGATCCAGTATCAGCTGACCTCAGCCTGTTCGCTGGGATATTGTTTTGCTGCCCTTTGTTGCTTTCACTTGTATTTGCATATTAATAACACATAGAGACACAGTGGGGCTGGAGCTGTGTGTCTGCACTGCTGTTTGCCTGCGTGTGTGTGTGTGTGTGTGTGTGTGTGTGTGTGTGTGCGCAGACAGACCAAGGACGAGTCACACACACACACACACACACCTGCAGAAAATGAAGCAACAAAACAAACAAACACGCAGAAAAATTGTACACGGGGTGGACGCCAAAGTCACGCACCAACACACACACACACACACACACACACACACACACGGAGTCATTGTCTCTATCTCTGCACACACACCCCGTGGCGGCGGCGGCGGCCTGTGTGTGTGTGTATGTGTGTGTGTGTGTGTGTGTGTGTGTCTCTTTATGAAATCACAGAGGGTCTGACCGCCTCATAGTAATTATGCTAATTGCCTGGATGCCCTTGCCTTTATTTATACGCGGCTGCTAAGATAAATAAAAGGAAATTGCTTTGGATCTAACTGTATTCATTTCAGCATGCTAACTAGAGCCGCTCCCCGTCCGTCTGTGTGTGTCTGTGTGTGTGTGTGTGTGTGCTGTGCGTTCACAGACTTGTTTACCCTTCACAATTTCTGCAGGTAATTGCAATTTTGATTGTATATTTATTTTTTTTACTCGCCGTGTGTGTGTGTGTGTGTGTGTGTGTGTGTGTGTGTGTGTGTCTAATGAAATGTTTTGTTCTATTAACCAGAATAAAAGCGTCCGTCTGAGAATCAGAGACGGTTCTGAAGCCTCCGAACAAAGACGTCACACGGAAACTTTCAGCACATTAAAGGAGAGATTCACTAATTAACGAGGTCGTTATTAGAACTGATTCATTTCTCAGAAACTCTGCTGATATCAAAGAAACACGAGAACATCTTGAATCAACCAGTACAGTGATATAAAGCGATGCTTAACATTCCCCCAGCAGCCGTTTTATTAGGAACAGCTCTGACAGGAAGCTGGTTGAAGCTCAGCACAGTTCTGACCACTGACATGAAGAAGAAGCTGCTGGAGGAGGAGGAGGAGGAGGAAGAGGAGCAGCTGTACGTCGCTCCTGATGTGGACACCGTCTCTAAATGACGCCTCCATGTTCAGAGTGTGCAGGTCCACGTCCTCCTGACCTGCTTCATT